GTTTGATTACGAGCTGACATCGGTTAGAGAAACATTAGAAAACCACCAAGAAGTACTGGACAGCTGTTTTGTCCTAGTTTGTGACTCTTCATCACTACACACCCATCAAGGGTTCTAACCCAAGAACTTCCGGTTACAAGGCTAGCGAGCTCGTAGGTCATTCGGCCACTGGAACCCGATCCAATGGCCAGCCGTATGAATTCCAGCTTCTGCCTGTTCGCGATATGTAGTGTGACCTTCTGTCACTGTCATAGGCGAATAAATGTTCTCTTCCCTGTGAATATGTCACTGATTTGACATTCATCATTCATTGCTTTTATCGATCTAATTCAATATCTACTCACTCAAATGACGGTTGTCTGTTAACTTAGTCAGTCTGTTCGCTCACTCACTGACTCACTCACTCATTTACCCTTCATCAGGAAGAGATCAATGATTCAAATAGAAATTTTTTCTAATATTGTAATTTGAACATTCAGGCGGCATTATCTTTAACCTCTTAAATAGAAACATTATGGATTACAGATTAGGAGAGCTACTAGGAGTTATGTACATCGGTGGCACAGAGGTAGGATGCTTGCCAACCACGCATGTAGCCCGGGGTACGATCCCCGGCCACTAATGCACTCCTTTACACCTTCGCTAAGTCAGTAATAAGAATGATAAAGAGGAGGGTAGGTTGGGCATGAGGCTGGCTAGCAACTCCATCTTATAAAAATAAGTCCCACAGCTACCGAAACTTCAAGCCTCTAACTTGAAGGTGCCCTCTGTCCCACTGGGAACGTAAAGGAATACAACAAAACAAAAGAAACTAGGGGTTATGAATAACTCTACCTAACATCTTGATACTATTATAACAGTGTGAATTGCCGAGCATATTACAGAATGATCTTATGTGCATTATTAGTGTTCATAATAATAATTATTTTATTTTATTCCAGAAACAGTACTAGTGGTACAGTGTGGAATTTTCAGCACTTTATCTACAATATTCCATCTAATTTCATCGCATATTTAAAAGGAGTATTACAAAAAAAATATAAAAAATAAAAAAACCAAAAAGAAACACAAAAAATAACAAAAGAAATACAAATAAAATACCAAGTAGGAAGGAAGATAAATACCAATAATGAAAAATATCTCAGCATTGGGTAGTGGAAGCTATGATATGTGTATGCGTGGTGAACAGTAACAGCTATAATCATACAAGAAGTTTATGATATGTTCTTAAGAATGTTTATAGCCAAGATGATCAGTTAATTTGATTGAACTACACTAAACAATCATAAAATAAACATTTTATTTATTTATTTATTTTTTATTACAGCTTGATTCCACACCGTATTTTTGGTACAAGTATGGAATTTTCAGCATGGATATCGGTAGCCCAAATTTCGCAGGCCGACCATAGATATCGGGTGTGCGTCGGCGGGGTGTCGAACTTCGGGCCATGTGCATGGTCGGCGAGAGTCCTAACCACTGTGCCACCGACGAACGTTTTTTTTATTTTTTTTATTGTCAGCACTAATGCAGTGTTTGTTGTGGTAGTGTGAGTAATCCTGCATAATATAAAATTTTTAAGATGGTGATAGTGGCGTTCACAAACAAGATTGTCAGTTAAATAGTGCCGAACAAAAAAAACAACCACAAAACTAATATTACATGATAGTTAATGACAGGACAATTTTGAAATACTCATAGTGATAATATAGTCGGGACCAGTAGATACACAAAAGAAGGAATAGAATAAAGAATAAAAAAAGTAAGCCAATGATAATAATATTAAGTAGCTAAGTGTGTTTAAGAAAGTTGTTTTTTTATTTTTTTTATTTTTGACTACAGCTTGATTCCACACTGTATTTTTGGTACAAGTATGGAATTTTCAGCATGGATATCGGTAGCCTAAATTTTGCAGGCCGACCGTAGATATCAGGTGTGCGTCGGTAGGGATTGAACCCCGGACCATGTGCCGCTGTGCCACCGACGCTACTATAGAGTACAAATAAGAGAGTATAAGGGAGAAAAATAAAACGGCCAAAATTATGTTATTAACAACAAAGCAAGTCATAGGTTTCTTTTATATGTATCTTTTATATATGGTAAGGCAATTTTCTTTGTGCTTTCCTTGGTGGTTTTTGCTTTGGTATATGTCTCTTGATGAAAGTCCGTGGATATCCATTCTTTTGGAAGACGTCCATGAGATACTTTTCTTCAATTTTCCTTAAGGTGGGAGTGCTGCAATGAGTCCTTGCTCTCTTGAATAGTGTTTGTATGCAATTCCTTTTGTGTGCTATTGGGTTGTTGCTGTTGTAATTCAGTATTTGGTCTGTGTGAGTTGATTTCCTATAAACTTGAGTTTCTAATTCTCCTGTAGTTGTTCGCCTGACTAAGACGTCCAAAAATGGTATTTTGTTCTCGGATTCCTCTTCTCTTGTGAATTTGATGTCGTTGAAGACGTTGTTTATTAAGTTGTGAGTTTTATCTAATTCGTTTCTTTTGATGATTACAAATGTATCGTCGATGTAGCGTATCCAAATCTTGGGTTTGATCTTTGGTAGAATTATATTTTCGAGTCTTTGCATCACCAAATAACCTTTAGGAATTGACGTCGTACACAAACCAACAAAGTCGCTGCACTCAATTCTATGTCAACCGAAAGACTCAACAGCGAAAGAAGACAAAACCAACATCACATACAAAATAAACTGTAACAACTGTGAAAAACACTACATTGGCCAAAGTGGACGTCCCCTTTGTCTTCGTATCCACGAACATAAGCTAGCCGTCAAAAGACATGATATCCACTCCCTCATTTCACTACACACAGACAACTACGGACATCAATTCGACTGGGACAACGTTCAAATATTAGACAAAGGAAATAACAAGAATGCTAGAGAATTTTTAGAAGCTTGGCATTCCAGTGAATCATCAATCAATAGACACATCGAGATAGACAAAATTTATCAACCAATAAGAAAGAAACTTCACACACAAAGGGTCAAAGTTCAAGTCAAAGAAACAACCGGTTTCAATACAAGTAACCTAGAAGGTGTGAAAACACACACAAACAACTAATCACGTCCAAGGTCACCAGGAGGAATGATTAATAAACTCGTGGAGAAACCTAAAAGCTCACTTCAAATTGAAGTATGCGCTGAAGATGTCACCCAGTAAGGTGATGAAAGCTTCGCAAACTAACCATCCAGCTCAGAGAACAAAACCATATCGAAATCATCCACCTGAGCTACAAATCTTCTCTATCATATCTAAAGATTTGATTGGTTTTACGAGATTTCATCAGGATGAGCTGATATCGGTTAGAGAACCACTGGAAAACTAACAGGGAGTACTAGACAACCAGCTGTTTAGTCCTAGTTTGGGGCTACTCAGTAGTACACACCCACCGTCAGAGTTCGAACCCAGGACCTTCCTCGCAGACCCAACTTAATAGCCAGCCCATGAATTCCACCTTTCGCCAATTCACGACACAGAGAGACTAGTACAAGCCAGTCTGACCTGCTGTACAATGCTGTTAACGATTTCCCATTAGAACCTGGGTAATTTACTACCTACCTGAAAAAAGGATGAGTCACCAGTGAGCATCAATCAATATTCAAGTGTTGGTTTACAAGATTGTAACGTGAAGGTCCTGATTTTGAACCCTGGCGAGGGGTTCATACTGTTGAAGGGCCCCAAACAGGGAAGAAACAGCTGACTGTCCAGTACTACTTGCTGGTTTTCTGATAGTTGTCTAACCGACGTCAGCTCATAATGAAATGCTAAGAACTCCCTATTTTTTACTATTTAAGCATAAAGTGTGTTCAGTCAGAGAACCATAGAAAACCAGTATGGAGTAATGGACAGATGTTTCGTCATAGTTCTAGACTTTTCAGTAGTTCACTCCTACCACATTGCTTCAGGGATGGAATCCAAGACCTCCAAGTCTACACTACGCAAGTCCTTTGACCATCCAACCATTTAGACGGAATCCAGTGACCAGCTTATCAACCGTAACTTCTGTCAACGGAAAGTATATCTCCTTACACCTCCAATAAGTGATAACTTCTCACTACAACTCCAAAAAGCTTCATCCTGTAGATAACCACTGGTGAGTATTCGATTAATTTTCAGGTGTAGGTTAGCAGTCACTTGATCACTTTCAAGTGAAATCATGGAATGATATCAGTTAGGGAAGAACTGAAAACCAAGGGGTTGGGAATCACAACATAACCTAAATGGTCCGACATTCAATCTTTGGGGGAGTTCATAGCATCATAACAATTCAGTACAGTCTCAAACCAGGAAAAACACTCGTCCAGTAATCCCTAGTTTTCACTCACTCTTCTCAAACTAAAATCAATCCATGATTATTATTATTATTGTTCCCTTGGGTTCCTAGTGGGACATAGGGCGGCTTCAACTGCAAGTCTCCACTTGCCACTTCTGTCTTCCTTCTGCTGTACTTTCCACCTGCATCCATGTTAGTCCGTTCATACTGTTTCAACTCCTCTTCACACGATCTTCTCCATGTCACCCTTGCACTGACGTCCCACCGCCGCTTCCCTTTCGGCCTGGTTTCACTCAAGCAATGGCCTGACGCGCGCGCGATGTCACCCAGCCCGGCGGCCTCCTCGCCTAGATTACTTACTAGCTCGCTAGTTTTCTAGCCGGTCCCAAGCCCGTATAAAGAGGGAGGGTTGAGGCGTGGTGCTAGCAACTCCCCCCCCTAAAACTTCACCAAATCGCTACAGAAACTTCAATGCACAAATATTAAAAATTCTAAAAATCAATCCATGATCCTATGTGAAAACTCATCAAATCCCTGTAAACTAACAATTGAAAATAAAGTGTGCCATTTCAGTGTGTGTGTATGTTTGCGTGAGTGTGTCCGTCTGTAATTACAAGGTTACTGAACAAAATAACTACTGAACGCTTAAATGCACATATATATATAATCATATACAAGAATAAAAGAGGAAAAAATGAATCCCACATACCTGTCGTCATATCGCCTTGTGAATTAAAACTTTTCCCATACAATTTCAAATCATCCATTCTAGAAACAATTTTAAATTGGATTTTGTTTTGTCTTTTTTTTGGTGTCTGGGATTTTGAATACTGTTAGATGATAGTGGTGGAATATCTATATATACATATATAATCATAAATATAAATATTTAAAGAGTAAAAAAGAAAATAAATTGAGAAGGCATAAAAAAAAGTATCAACGGTAGCGGCAAGGGCAACAGCAACCGAGATAACAACACGTTTATTGGACAAATGTTAGAAGAATGATTATGCAATAGACAGTTTAATCTAACTAGACTCGGCTTATTTTTTTTCTCTAAATTCATGTTCACGATGTCCTACATCTGTCTGTCTATCTATCTATCTATCTTTTGCATGGTTTAAGTGTCTATACATAAACGCACAAACACAATAATGTAAAGTGGTGGGTGTGTGTTTGTGTGTGTACAAACACACACGGGATAAGTTTAGACGATAATGATTGGTAGATACACAGACATGTCTAACTGTCTATTAATAGGCTATTTCTTATTATAATTATGTCTAATTTATAGATATATACAGACATACACACGTACATACTTAAATACATACATGCATGCTGATTGATAGATAGACAGACAGCAGACAGTATTATTCGAACATATTGGTATTAGTATTGATTTTTAAACTTTCTAATTTTTGGACATTTTATGTCTGATGCGTACGTACTCTATTGCTTCAAAACTAATTGTCTGGTAATAATTTAACAAAGCACATGGAATATATATATAGAAGTTGTCATGTATATTTCAACTTCTGTAGGTTACAAAAAAATTCAATATAATTTTTTAAAATAAAGCTCATATGCAGTAAATGTGAAAATATTGTATGTGAAACATGAATGACCTTGGAATACATGTTTTGCTGAAGTGGATTATCGATTCCCAGAAAGTGAGCAAGTGGCTAGCTTAAACAGGTTGTCATGTCAGATATGAGTAATGATAAATTATAATTTATATTGATTAATTTTTGAGAGCTTATTATAATATATACCATGCTGTTATGCGCCATTCAAATACGTAGGAGATTAATGAACCAGAATTTGGACATAATTTTCGGTTGGTGGCTGTAAAGGCCATTCTGGCAAGTCCTGAAACTATTGGATAGTTTCTTCGTCCTACTTTGGATCGCTTCAACAGTTCACGTTTATGACTTCATCAAAAGATGGAACCCAGAACCCTGGAGTTTTGAACCAATTGTGTTTACCAACCAGATGGTGATATGTTGGAATTCATGCAGTCATTAAACTCCTGCACAACTGTAGAGTCACAGGAGTGTACTTATGATGAAGACTAAATCAGAGTAGCTTTCAGTAGTCCTCCAATTAAACTCGGTCAGAGGTCAGGTGTTCCTTCTGACTCAAATCTGTAAGTGAACCAGAATTTGGACAAAGGATATTCTAATGTGTATTTGAAAAGAATAGTAACATGCTTCACACTGTCAGTTTGGGGTTTTTGTGTCTTTATAATTTGCTTTTAGGTATTTAAATCATATTTAGTGTTGTTTGCATTTTTTTAAGATTTGACTTTCTTGTACGTTATCTAAAAATGGCGTTAATTAGACATTTTTCATAATGATTCATTCGTTTTAGTGATAGTGAGTCATTTAGGCGTATTAGTGTCCATATTTCAAGTAAAGAGCTTTCGGCAATTTTTGTTAAAAATATTTTAAGACTTTTGGTTTCATAAGTGAATGTGTTTCTAAAGTGATTTCTCTGATAAGGAATTTTTCGTCAAACACCTAGTATAACAATAACCAAGTATACTGCATTATATTTAAATTTAGTTTTTTAGACTACTAATAAGCTTTATAAGTAGCTAAATTAATTTCAATTAATAATTTGGTGAATTATGTGATACTAGTTTTCAAAAGATGTATTAGTTCTGCAGGGATAATATTCCTTTTAGAAACTTCTTAATTAGTGGTGTGAATCGATAATAATTGAAGAATTATTGTTATTAATACCATTAATGTTCCTTTAAATAACACTGAATCAATACTATTGGCAGAAGCATCTGGAAGTGACAACATACATCTCTCATCATTATGAGTGTTAATCATTTGGGTTTCGAGTAGAACATGCCACTTCAGTCACGCATCTCCAGTCTGCTCTGTTTTCTCCTGTACTCTTCAGATGTTTAGCCCCATGAGTGCCCATAATCTCTCATCTCCTCCTCTCCCACACAATCTCCTCAATGTCACCCTCGCACTGTCGTAACACTAGTCGCTTCCCATTTGGATTCAACTGCAACAAGGGCCTCCTCAACGTAAACCCGATCTATCTCCATTTTTCCCGCTCTTGGTTGGTCTGATCCTAACCAGGGTTTCTTGTTGCTTTCTGGACGGCCGGCTGATCATTCAATCTTTAGTATGTAGTCAGCCGGAGAAGTGAGCAGCTTTTGTTAAAGGTATGCAGTGGCATGTTGGAAATCTTTTTCGTAACATGCAGTGCAAGGTTCTCATCCGTATAGAAAAAATGAATAACTTAAAATTCATTTTTTGAATCTGAATCTTGTTATTTATGTTGAATGAGTGAAGCTGAATGCTTTCAAACTGGTTTCAGAGTGATGAGGGCGTATCTTGCATTACTAAATGCTTAGAATCTTGGCCAGCAATCTTAGACCCAAAGATTTGCTTTCTGATGAGGTCGTCAGGTGTTCAAAATTGAAGAGTTTTGAAGTAGGACGAAACAGCTGTGCATTACACCCTGCCTTTCGATGGGTTCGTAAGGAAAAATATTTTAAACAAATACGTGACTGAATCATTTCTAGCACGACTGGTGTCATTACGAAATGAGTACAGGCCCAATTTAAAAGATGATATTGGTTCCATGGAATGCGCACATCAGTAAATCAGAAGATAATGTCTTCAAGTTGACATCACACTCTAAAATGTCGAATGAAACCCCAAATGGGAAACGAAGAGTTAGATGTCCTAAGATGACATAGAGAGATGCCATAGAAGCTGGTGAAATGAAGATATGCTGGTAACGCCTCAGGTACAACTCGGAAGGCAAGCAATGAATAAAACTAATAATATATCCACTTTAAAGTTTCACTTATTTAGCTAAGTGAACGTATTTTTGATTGGAGGCTAGTCACTAACTGGTGTAATGTATCTAGTCCTATCTTTGGTGTAGAATGAATTCTATCAGTTAGATTTGTAATGTGGTCACCATGCCACTGGATGACTCGCCATCATGGTGTACTTTGAACTGTTGATATGCAACGGCTGAAGACGATCGGTAGGAAGATTTATCTGACCAAGGTTTCGTGCTAGCTGGCACTCACTAGTCAGTCAGTAAGGCGTATCTGCAGTCTTCAAGGAACAACTCATATCCCTTCTGAGGTTCGAACCGGCGTCACTAAGTGCTGCAGTCAGAGACGATGTTACCAATGAGCTAGCTAATTCGGTCTTGCGACTGACCTCCTGTGGGTCTGGTGGATACTTTGATTGGACATTAGTAACTAGTGTAATGGAGGGACATCTGGAATAATGACCACATTGCAAACCTGACTAACTGATAAAATTCAGAAAACAGAAAGATTGAGCAGCGAAGAAATATTTACTTTTCAGTTAGATCATCATCTCTGGCTGAACTCTAATATATATAGCATTTTTATTACAATACACAACAGTTTGCCAATCAAGTGGCGATAAGTTTGTTAACAATAATTTAAGTGTCAAAATGTCAATGGGTTAATAGTTAACGAAGAAAATCAATACACACAATTAAAAGGTAGAAATGGTTAGAATAAATTAATTTTACAAGGATAACACGTAAATTAAAGATGAAGTGGTCAAAATAAATAAAAAATAAAATAATTTGGACAATTATAATTTTTATAATTTTTAAATGTTTAGGTGGAGGGGTGCAAAGTAGTCCGATTTATACATTCATGTAACGATGGCCACGGAAAGGAAAGTGGCTATACAAATTCCCTCTGAAGACACAGGTCTGCCGGGCTTCTCCAGATGGATTCCTATTGCTTCAGCTGTATGTAGAAGACGAACTCGTATAGCAAAATTAAAATGAGTAGGAATGCGATAAAATTCAGTCTGCACCAAGCAAAGAAAGGACTAGACACATCACACTAGTTACTAACTAATGTTCAATCAAAGTATCCACTACAGTCCTACAGTTAGTAACGAGCCCGAATTAGCTAGCTCATTGGCAACATCGTCTCTGACTGCAGCACTAAGTGACGCCAGTTCGAACCTCAGAAGGGATATGAGTTGTTCCTTGAAGACTGCAGATACGCCTTACTGACTGACTGGTGAGTGCCAGCTAGCACGAAACCTTGGTCAGACAAGGCTTCCTATCGATTGCCTCCAACCATCTAATGTAACGTAGAAATGTATAAAACTATAGATGCATACCACTTCATTAACCAGTGGTGTTTGCCAACTGGCCAGATCAAAGTGTGATTTAACCATTGGACTGCTATTTTGCTTGTTTGGGGCTAAGCCTATCAGCGGTGTACCAGTAACGGTAGAAGACAAGACACTTGGTAATAGAATAGTTTGCTTAAGTATTTTATACTTCTACATAGGGAGACTATGTACACCATATTTGAAAATCGCCATTTGCACAGATCTTCCATGTGGTGCTACTTCTACCCTTCCTTCGTATTCTGTGTGCTTCTTTGCTATTTTTCGAGTCTCTCATGTTTTTCCACAATACAGGTGGTTGATTTCCTCCCTTTTTGACGTCACATCTGCATCTCCGCTATAGTACTGACAAATCTTGTCAGTAGTGAATGTAGTAGTAGTGAATGCCACCCACACTTCAAATCACTTTTACGCACTTACACTTTGCAGAGTGTGAATTGATTAAAAAAATTGTGGGTATGATGTATGATTCAGGCAGACTATTGATTGGACACTAGTCAGTAACTAGTGTCATGTGTCTAGTCCTTCGTTTACTACAAACTAAATTCTATCAGTCAGTCAAGTTTGCAATGTGGCCACCATGCCACTAGGTGGCTTACCATCACGGTACACATTGTCTCTGACTGCATCAATGGGTGACGTGAGTTCAAATCTTAGAAGGGACATGAGTCACTTCAAGGTTTCAGGTGTTCCTTGCTGACGAGTGCCAACAAGCACGAAACCTAGGTGTCATACAAGGCTTCCTGTGGCTGATCACCTTCAAACATCTAATAATAATTCAAGTATCTTTCATATTTTGAATTATTGAAGTATTTTGTTAGGATATTATATGCAGTTATACAATTCTGAAATAACTGAACTCAACTGCCATCTGTTTCA